CAGCCTGCTCAGCTTGAGCCACCCAGCCACAGTTTGCAGAGCCCGGTGCAGATCTTCTGGGTTGGAGTCCGACCGGCCGCCCAACATCAAATAGAGCTGGGTGTCATCTGCATATTGGTGACAGCCCAGCCCATACCTCCGGACAATCTGGGAGAGGGGACGCATATATATGTTAAACAGCATCGGGGAAAGCACAGCCCCCTGAGGCACCCCGCACTCAAGCGGGTGCCTCTGGGACTGTCGCTCCCCTAGCACTACCCTCTGTCCCTGACCTTGGAGAAACGAGGCAAGCCATTGAAGGGCAAGCCCCCTGATCCCCATGTCGGCGAGGCGGTGGGCCAGCAGCTGATGGTGGACCGTATCAAATGCGGCCAACAGATCTAACAACAACAGCGCCGCCACACCGCCTCGATCCAGATGTCTACGGAAGTCATCAGTCAGAGCGACCAGAACAGTCTCCGTCCCATGCCCCGGGCAAATACCGGACTGGAATGGGTCCAGGACAGAAGCGTCATCCAGGTAACCCTGTAGCTGCACCGCCACTGCCTTCTCAATCAATTTGCCCAAATAGAGCAAATTGGACACCGGCCGATAGCTGGCCAATTTGGTCAGGTCCAAAGTTGGTTTTTTCAAGAGAGGGCGGACCATCGCTTCCTTGAGTGCCTCGGGGAACCGCCCCTCTGAGAGGGACTTGTTAACAATCTCCCTCAAGGCACCTCGAAACCCCTCATGGCCCGCTTTAATGAGCCAGGAGGGGCACGGATCAAGGTCGCACGTGGTTGAGCATATAGATACGAGTAACCTGTCGACTTCCTCCAAACTGAGCTGGTCGAAGCATTCTAAACCCGGACCCGAAGATGCGCAAGGGGCCTTGAGTTCACTATCTGTTTCAACTGTGGCGGAGAGGTCGCGGCGGAGCGACAAGACTTTATCCGCAAAATAGCTCACAAAAGCCTCACAGCCAATATCCAATTCCCTATCATTTTGTCTGCCCTGTGGCAGAGCCGCCAAGGACCGAATTGTTCTAAATAATTGGGCCGGGCGAGAGCTAGCGTACGCAACCCTGGCTGCATAGAAATCCCTCTTCGCAGCCTTGACTGCCATCTCATAGGATCTCATAAACGTCCTATAGGATGCTTTTGTAGCCTCGTCACGAGCTCGGCGCCACCGTCTCTCTAACCATCTTAACTCTTGCTTCATCAGCCGCAGCCCCTGGGTATACCAGGGGGCCAGCCTAGAGCGAGAGCGCAGAGGGCGCCAGGGAGCAATCACGTCGATGGCTGTGGAAAGTCGACTATGCCAGTTGTCCACAAGCTCATCCAACGAACCGCCAGGGGGTATCGGTTCCCGCAGAGCCAGTTGAAGCTGCATCGGGTCCATTTGGCTCCGCGAGCGAGCTAAAATCCGCTCGCCGCCTATACAGGGGCGGGACGTTCACACGGACCTTCAGGGCATAGTGGTCCGACCATGGCACTGCATCAGCAGTGATCCGGTCCACTGTAATCCCCATCGTGAAGATTAAATCGAGCGTGTGCCCCGCTTGGTGCGTAGGGACCGATACACATTGGGAGAGTCCCAGCGCCGCCATGGACGTCACTAGGTCCGTAGCCTGGCTGGAGGCCGCGTCATTGCCATGGACGTTGAAGTCACCCAAGATTAATAGCCTAGGGAGCTCCAACGCCCAGCCTGATATGGCCTCCAGCAGGGATGACAGGCAACTGGCCGGTGCATTAGGCGTCCGGTACACCAGCCACACTCTCCTCGGCTTCCAGCAACAGGCCGACACACTCCAAGCCCGCAATCTCCAACCTAGAGAGCGCCCTGAAGGAGTAAGCCTCCCGCACGAACATCGCCACTCCCCCCCCGTCCCCTAGTCCGTGATTGGTGCAGGACCGAGAACCCCGGTGGGGCAAGCTGGGAGAGCGCTACGGTCTCCCCCTCCTGCACCCAGGTCTCAGTCATGCAGGCCCGTCAGCTTGATGTTCTATGACAAAGTCGCGAAGGGCTGTTGTCTTGTTATTAATGGACCTGGCGTTGCACAACACCAATGACGGAGGGGGATTCCTAATCCTAGCCCCACTGCTGACACCCTTTGGGATGGGGCGCAGGCTGGAAGGACACCGAACCCTTTTGTTTCTCGGTTTCCTTCCTTTATCATTCCACCTGGTCCCACCGCTGTTCTTTCCCCTCCCAAAGAGCACCGGAACCTGCTGTGTTAGCATCGTTGCAACGGCCGGTCCACGCCAAAGCACCAGACTACCAACAGCACGCTAAACAGTTGCTCTCCTGATGCCATTGCTATAGCCCACTTCCATCCCACTCTTACACAAATAATCCCACAATCTGCTATATCACTCAATTGACACTACAATTGACTAATTCGTGCCAGCAACCTATATCGCCTTACATTCACGTATTTTCTCCCGCTTCCTCCAGACATACCCAGAAAGGTGCCCCCCCCCCCGTTGCTTTTAGCAACCGCTCCCCACTCTGCTCAGTTTAGGTTTCCTGACACCGTCCCTACCTGCTCAGACTAGTCCTCGGTGGATACCCCTAGTGTCGTGTCCCTCCTGCTGCTGAGGTGTCCTCTTCAATTTTCGGCTCATCTCTTCACACAGCTCCCCTGGCATCTTTGGATGTCCTGGGACCTTCCACACTTGGCAGAGCCGAGGGCAGCCGACGTTGCTGACACGCGCACATTCTTGCTCCCTTTTTCTCGGTGTGAGTTGTTTCCCGTTTCCCCACAGCTCCCTGGGCAAAGGCAGGATGGTGGCCTCTTTCAATGGTTCGATCCCGCCCTTCCCTCCAAGGAGCTCGGTGTGCACAAGGTGCCTTCCTCTCGGTTTTATCCACAGCAGCCTTGTGAGGCAGGACTGGCTCGGAGTGCCTGGCCTGGTCATCCCATAAGGTCTGCCCAGCAAGAAAGAGTCTTGGCGTCTGACTCTGCTCCCCTTTTGCCCACTCTCTCTGGACGAGGTGCGGTGGGGGCATTGGGTCCTCCTATTCTCAAGGGGCAAACAACGGCTGAGCTCACAGCTGTGTTTCAAAGGGCACGGGGCTTCTGACCCAGAAGGCCCCCACCCCACCCCTCTGTGATCTCCCCATGGGCAGCAGCTCTCTTCTTCCCAGGCGTGCCCCCCTCTTTCGGGTGGGTTTCTTCTGCATCCTATGGGGAGCCCCTCCACGAGCCAGCCCTGGCCCGGCTGCTGTTCAAAGGAATACCTTTATTTATTATTTGGATTTATAAAATCAGTCTCTGAGTGATGAACAACAGTAAAATACATAGCATGATAAAAACAACTCAAATAATTAAAGAAAGTAAATTAATGAAAAACAATTCACAGGCAGTATTGATACTTCCGATTCCAGGCGGTCTCGCCGCCTTGCGGGAGGGGTGGTGGTGGTAAAGCAGGGCTGCCCTTACCGGCACGATGCAGGCCGCCACCTCCTACCACATCAAGCTCCTCCTGGCCGGGTTTATGTACCAGGCGGCTGCGGCGTTCTGGGGGCAGGACCCCGGTTGCCCAGGCTTGGATTGCCTTGGGAGGTGTTTCCTGGGGGCAGTTGTGCTGCCCCACATTCTGGTCCGGGGCTCCCCTTAACCAGAGGCTGGAAGCTGCCAGGAAGCCCCGTCTGTACCACACTTGGCCAGAAGGTGTGCTACTCCTGCCACAACAAAAAGCCTGCACGTTGAAATCAGGTGGGGGGGGGGGTCACTAAGTCTGCATCCCACATGAGGCAACCAATCACCCCGTGTCCCAGCACATGCACACTTGTACTGGTTCCTGTTGGGGGAAAGCACCTCTATTGCATGGCCAAGGAAAGAAGGGAAAGGGAGGATCCACACACCAGCACCAGGGGTCTGAGAACCAGGCCCAGAGCCAGCCTTTCCCCCACAGCCCATCTGCAGAAAGTCAGCTGCAAACCTGCTGATTGGCTTACAACCCAGGCCCATAGCCAGGAATTTTTCGGGGGGGGAGGGGTCGTGGTGCCACAGCGCACACTAATTAAATAGTTTAAAATTAAGTTAGATGAATTAATGTGTCTAAATTAAATTTTTTTTTAAATCAGCTCTGCTGGGCTCTCTGTCTCTTGCCACTCGCTTTAATAGACCAGGCTCCTCTGGGAAAAGAGGGAAACCCAATGCGAATCCGGCAGCCACCCATGTACAAATGAAAGCAAAACACAAACCAAAAATCTCACCCTCTTCTCCCCCCCCCCCGGGATCACATGACACCAGGCCAGCACCTCTTCGTCTTCTAATGTGTGCCCTCCTTTCTCCAAGGGGTGGGGAGCGGGCCACTGCGGGTGTTTCAAACAGGCGGCAGTGTCGACATGGAGATCCAGGTGAGGTCAGGCCAAGCAGCAGGCTCAGCTCTCCTTGCGCGCGCACGGGGGGGGGGGTTGTCTGGCTTGGCAGAGGGGAAGGGCTTGGAGCAGATGTAGCCGAAGCAATACTGGCCTGCTTCAATACTGAATGCTTCAGGATTAAAACTTGAAGAATGGTGAAGATTGGGGTGGCAATGCCGGGGTGGGGATTCGATAGGGTGTGCTGCTGATTCCATATGGGGCCATGACTCCATGCACCCTCCCACACACACTGGCTACGGCCCTCCTCCTACCTCATAAAGCAACAAGCTAGAAAAAAGACTGTTGAGGAAACCTTTGTGATCTCAAGAGTAGGATGTACAGCTCTTTCCAGCTCCTCTACCAGTAACCACAGTTCCTGCTAAGCTGTGCACAAAATGTTAGGTAGCAGCTGAGGGATTTCAGCTTCAGCTCACAAGTAAACACTAAGGCATTTCCCCATCCATTGGTAACAATCAATGGGGGTACCTCCTTCTGGGGCCCATAGAATTGGACCCCCTAGGCCAATCTTTTTAAAACTTGGGAGGGGTTTTCTGAGGTAGAGGCACCAGCAGCTATGTCATAAATTTGGTGCCTCTACCCCCCAGCCCCAGATATCCCCAGATCCATTCTCCATTATAGTCTATGGGACCCATTAATTATGTCCTCCATAAGCTATAATGGAACTGGAAAATGGCGGGGGGGTGTTGCACACCCCTTATGCTTTTCAGTATGATTTGTAACCTGCCTTGAGCCATAGGAAAAGTAGGATATAAACATTTGAACAAACAAGTAGTTTGGGCAGGTTATAACATTTAAGCAACTTCCTGTTAGATTAGGCAGGGTTCTGGCAGGGATCGTTCCACATCTATTATACTTTACGTGTAATTTGCCATATTTCATTAAAAAAAGCAAATCACAGTCGACTGCAAGAGTCCCTCCCCCCCCCGCCGCCCCCAAGTGCTGGTAGGTTTCGTAAGGCTCAGTGCAGAGGGGGACACTCCGAGGCCCGGGCTCCCACCACTGTGGGGAGGGGCAGGTGGACACGTTCTCCAGAGGCCTCATCTACCCCCTCAGAGGGCAGCATTTACTGTAATGAAATCTGATTCCTGTTTAAATTTTTCTTAAAATATAGTTTGAATATAGTTTAAAAGAATTCATTCCGAGATTTTCACAAGGAATGGCTGGAACTCTGGCTTCCCAGGGAGCGAGCAGACTCTCCGCCCAGGCCCAGCCCCCCACGCCCTCGCCAGAATCCGGGGGGGGGGCAGACTTTGCATTCTGAACTTTGCTCCGGTGCCACTTGCAGAGTGTCCCTGCCTGGAGCAGGTGGTATTCTGCAGCTGCCTCTCACCGCGGACAGGATGCCTTTCCCGACCTGGTGGGTGCTCCTGGGCATCTGCACGGGCGTGCCAGGGCTGCAAGCAGCGGCGAGCGATTTCCCACCACCGTGTGCCAGGTGAGCGAGAGGCCCCGGGGCCCCGGCAAGGGTGAGACCTGGCCCGTGAGGAACAGGGCCCCAGCTGAGGACGCCCCTTCCTGGTGCTGGCCCAAAGTCACTCCCTGGAAGGGTGACCTGGAGCACCGGCCTCCGCTTCGAGGCCCCCCCCCTTGCGTCCTTTGCAGGGCTGTGGGGCGGGGGGGGGAGGGCTCCTGTCCTGCTCTAGCTGCTGTTCAGGACCGACTGCGGGGCAGGCGGAGAAGGAGGATGCCACCAGGGTGCTTTTGTGTGGCCAGGTGGTGGCCGCTGGGCTGCTCGGTCACAGGCAAGGAGCTGCTTGCAGGGGGTGCCTGGGGCAGAGGGAGGGCATCAACTGGTGGCTTTGAGACACTGGCCGGCCGGAGGGAGGCTTGTATGCCGCACCCCTAATTTGGGGAAGCCCCCCCCCACTCCTCAGAACAGCAGAAAAGGAACAGAGGCTGGGGAGGGGCACCTTGCCCAGCCATTGTTTTGCTACAACGCCAGCGAAGCATGAGGCATGGCCAGAGGCTGGCAAGCACCCTGCAGTTGACAGGGAGGCCGGCTGTGGGTCGGGGCAGCCGAAGAGGGACCTCAGGAGCCCCCTTCCCCCCCCCCCCCAAGCTCCCAGACAGGCTCTCTCCGCTTGCGCGGGCGGAGGAGGTAGGAGAGGGCTGCGCTCAGGGCCCGTCTGGGGAGCTCGAGGCCAAGCAGGAAGGGCCAGAGCTGCTGCAACCAATGTTCCCTCTAAGCTGTGGAGTTGTGTGAGCAAAAATTCTACTTTGTGGGCTACTGGCATTAAAGTTGTGAGCTACTGCATAAATTAGTTGGCTCTGGAACCCGTCCTTCCTGAGTGGAGACAAAAATGTGTGAGCCGGAGGCTGAAAAACTGTGAGCTAGCTCACACTCACTCACCTTAGAGGGAACACTGGCTGCAACCCACCTGCACGGGACAGGCGAGACAAGGGGCAGCAAACAGCCGCCAGGCCTCTCCCCCGCGCCCCCCCCCACTGATGCTCCCTGGCGCTCGCCCTCTTCCCCAGCCCCATCTACTGCACCGGGGAGCTGCTGAGGCAGGTCCAGATGAACAAGCTTTTCTCCGACGATAAGCACTTTGTGGACATGCCCCTGCGGGGGAGCCCAGGTGAGTGGCCAGCCCTGCCCTGCCCTGCCCTGGGGACGGGGTGGGTCTGCATTCGGAACCTCCCCTGCCGGCCTGGGGGGGGGGGAGCAGGACCCCCCTCCTGTGGTTCCTCTTTCCTCCTGGGTGTGTCTTTCCCTCTGGGGTTCCTCTTTGACTGACAGAAGATCAGCATTTCCTGCTTTGGTTGCCAGTCTCGGAACCCGGCCTGTGCCCCCTCCCAAGCCAGGCTGGCGGAAGGATTTCTAAGCTGGCGGCACTGACCTTAGCCCTTCGGGTCCGAGCAATGGGCAGGGCTGTGAAGCCTGCAGGTGTGGGGTGTGTTCGAGGCCGGAAAGGCTGGGGCAGCGCTGCCTGCCGCAGAGCCAGGCCCTTGCTGAGCAATGGGGGCTGCCTGCCAGGAGGAGGTCTGGCCACGGCTGCCCCTTTCCTCCCTCCCAGAGACGGTTCTGCAGGACTTCCAGCAGCTGGTGAATGCCGCGCCTGGCGGGGCTGTGTCCAAGCAACAGCTGGCGGCCTTTGTCCAGGCCCACTTCTCTCCCCCCGGGCAGGAGCTGGAGCCCTGGGAGCCCTCGGACTGGACGCAGAGGTAGCTCTCCCCACCCCCCCCCCCACCCCCAGCCCCT